AGAAGGGCCCTTGCTTAGATGGTGAGGCTTGAGTTGTTATTTTATAAATGCGACGGAGCAGGAGCGGGAGGAAGGGCACGTGTGCCTTCCGAGCCAGGGAGCCCCTGCTCTTCCGCTAGTCTGGGAAGATGTTGGCAGGGGTAGTGGGGGTAAGGCTGGAGCTGATGGGCAGGGAGGGGATCTGCTGCAGGGCCCCCTTTTTGAGAAGCTGGCTGAGGTGCAGTGGCCCAAAAGGGGCCACTGTGGCTGGAGGTGGGCGTGGTCTGGATCTTTTTAGCTGTGGTGTTAGGGGCTCGGCAGGGTCTCTCCACCCTCTCCTGCCATCCTTTCCATGTGGCCAGCAGCAGGTAGGTGTGGGTGGTACTGGGTTCCCAGCAGGGGCATCCCCCTGCCTGGGCCAGGCCGTCCATTGTGCAGCCCCTGGGCTGTCCAGCTGCCCAGAGCCTGGCCCCAGCCTGCATTCCTCCGGGCATGCTCTGGGTCTCCGGGGTGGATTTGCTGAGCGTGAGGGGCACTGAGTTCTCACAGGACTGAGGGCCTTTCGAGGACAGAGCCTGTGGGGACCCAGAGCGCTCTGCCGAGATGCCTCCGTTACCTACCCTGCTTTCTAGTACCTCCTCTAGTTGCTGTGTGTCTTGGGGCAGATTGCTTTACCTCTCTGAATCTTTCCGAAGACACACAGAGACCGTGTCTTATTCCCTACCACTGACCTCTCTTCTCAAGGTTAGGGTAAAGCCAGGACTTTGCCCCTTTGTGCCTCAGTTTCCCCATCTTTGAGGCTAAGAGGAGAAAAAGTTATTGGAGACCAGCAATGGAAAATGGGGACTAGGAATAGCTCCTGAGAGAACACAGGGGGTCCGAATGGGATGTCCTCCCCATTTGCTGACAGAAGGAATTGGACTCTGTGATCTCTCAGGCCTGGTTCGGCCCCAGAGTTGAGCCCAAGGTGGAACATGTGCCCTGGGAACACCACGCAGGCGCTGCGCTGGTGCCGGCTGTACCTTGGTGTGCTGTCTTAATGGTGCACTGTCTTACTGGAGTCTCCCAGTTCTGCGAAGGCTGAGTTATTTTTGTTAAAGAAACAAGCTTAGAGAGGTCAAGTAGCTTGCCCAGAGTCACCCAGCAAGCAAGCAAGCAAGCAAGCAAGCAAGCAGAGCTAGACTTGCACTCACGACTACCTGCCTCTAAGGCTGGGTCCCGGGCCCTGTCCACATCACCTCTAGGTGCTAGGAGAGCGGAGCCCGAGCCTGGCTAAGTAGGGGAAGGAAGCCTGGGCCAAGCTAAGTACTCTTGATGGTGCTCCTAGCTTTTGCAGCATGTTGAGTACGTCTCAGGGGTGCTGGGCACCGGGCCCCTGCCAGCTGGCCTGATTTGTGTGTCTGGGTCTGTCTTTGTCGCTCGCCCTTCTTCCGTCCTCCAGTGTCTCCTTTTCTCTTTCGGCACGCCCCCCTGCTGTGTGGCACTGGCATTGCTGGTCAGTCTCTCAGGGCATTAATAGCCTCATCTACCCTCATCTGTATTTACTCTCTCAAGAGAAGCTTGAGGCTTAAGTGAGAGTCTCCAGAAATGGTCATAGAATATAAGCATGTAACTAAAAATAACCTGGGCCTCGTTATTTTCTGCTGCTTTTGCTTATTTTAGGGGCCTGCCTTTGTTACCTGTGTGATCTTAATCCTCACAGCAACTCAGAACCACTCTCCCCCTTTATCATCTCCATTTTACAGAGAAGACAACTGAGGTGCAGAGAGGTTGACTTGCCTGCAGACAGCGAGCAGTAAGAGGAGGGACAGACTGATTCTGGGTTGACCCTGTGCCACCCTGTCTGGATAGCTTGTGGTAGGCAGGGGCAGGCTGTGGAAACTGGGCACGAGAGACCCCAGACTTCTCATTCAGGCTTGGAGGGGCTGGGGGTGAGCAAGGAAGCCTGGCTTTCCTGCCCATGTCCCTTGTCTTCGGAGTGGATGGTGAGTGGCTGGGGAAGGCCAGGGACCTGTCTGACCTCTAGGCGATTCAGAGCCTTCCCAACTACAGCCCTGGCTGTGGGCCAGGGAGAGTGGGCAACTCGGAGGGGTCCAGCCAGCTTCCTGCGGGCTCTGAAACCAGAGAGTCAGGTGTGTGGGGGTGGTGAGTGGGGCCTGCTGGTCTCTTCCAGGGCCTGCTGGCCTGGGCTGGAAGCCTGAGGGCTTCTGCGGAATGAGGCTGTCAGCACCAGGCAGGGGTGATAGGCTGCGGGGAGCATTGGCAGGGTGTTGGTCCGTTGGGCAGGATGCCGTAGCTACCTGGTAATGTGCCTGTGCACTCGTATATCCCCAGAATTGGGGAGGGGCTGGTGGTGGTGGGGTTGGGGTACTATTCAGGGACATGAATAGTACCAAGCAGGTGGAAGCAGGGTGGGGACTGGGAGCTCGCAGTGTGGACATCGGGTGGTGTATATGGCTGTAGGTAAGTGGGGGCTGTGGTCCCAGGTGTAGAAATCCTGGCTCAGGAGAAGCAGTGAGCCTGGGTGACCCCAGAGAATGCAGGGCAGAGGTGTCAAGAGACCAAGGACCGCTGTTCTTGGCATCTGCCTCTGTGGGCCAGGGATGAAGACGGCAGCACAAGTGCAGGACTCCCAGCTTCCAGCAAGCAGGCCCTCTGCAGGGTGCCCAAGACTGTGGAGTCCCCAGACCTCCATGGCTGCTGGCTTCAGATGTTCAGATCCTGAGCTGCCTACCCGGGACACTCTGCTGGGTGTCTACCCCTGAGTTTGGTGGTGGAAGGAAGCAGGAAGTCAGCCACTTCCTGGTGGGCATGCTCTTCGCTGAGGTTTGAGTGGGGCATCTGTGAGCTGAGGACAGGCTGTGTTTGTGTCCACGAGTCCTCCAGGGGTGTGTGTGTGTGTGTGTGTGTGTGTGTGTGTGTAGGTGTGTGCAGCTCGGGGTATAGCGAATGGGAGATATGGCTGTGTTCCCAGTAAGTGCCAGTGGATGTACAAGTTGGGGTTGGCAAACACTGTACTTAATTGTGTGGGGTGTGTACCACCCTGTCAGGTGGAGGAGGGTATGAGTAAGGGTTGAGGAGAAGAAGCCAGCAGGGCCCAGGGGCATTTGGATTCAGTTCTTTAAGGAAAGAGGGTAGATAGATAATTATGCTCATTATGTATGAAATTATGCAAATAAGGAGGTCGTTTAGGGGTCAAGGGCTGTTTGTCACCTCTTCAGGCACTTTGTGGCTTCTAAGGCATTCCCTGTGCCTGCTTGGCTATTCCTCCTCAGGGACCCCCTCCAGAGACCTGGGCTGCCCCCGGTGTTGAGTCCTCTGGTCTCCCAGGGTGGCCCAGCCATCCTCTCCACCTCATCTGGGGGCTGCTTATTATTCGGGAAGAATGTTCTTCTGGATGCAGGATTAGAAAATCACCAAGGTAGCCCCTTCCTTAGCTTCATCTGATGAGCAGGATGCTAAATTAAGTTGCAAGCATTTTCTGCCTTTCCTCTGCTCCTTCCCTGCCCTGTGCCCCTCTACCCTCTGCCCCCCATCCTCTGCCTCTCCATCCCTGTCTCCACCCTCCCCCTCTGTTCCTCCAGGATCTCACCCCCATCTCTGTGGGGAGCTGCAGCTCCTGGTCCTTAGCACAGAGGAGATGGTTGTCATGGTAACGGTTGTCATGTGGATGGCTACTGAGCTAGGGATGAATAGTATCTAGGTGAGAGCTACCTGAGTGGAGACTGATGGATTCACATGAGGCTTGATGTTTGTCTCCAAGCCTCAGAGCTGCACGGTACTCCACTGCTGCCACTTTCCCCCCATGCAGTGCTGTAAGGTGTGCTCATATACTGCCTTGCTGTGGCTGCCGTTAGGTGAGTTGTCAGGGTGTGTCTCTGTGTTCTGTCTGTCTTTGAGTGTGTCATTTTCTGCCTCGCTGTGCCTTACTTTCTTACATTAAGGTCGGGGGCTCTTTGGGTTTGTGCTGATCTTTCCAGAGTCAGGGTGTTAGGGGCTGCTATGTGGCACTAGTCACCATGGAAACGGGAAGACTCCCTGTGTGGCTCCTACATTTACTTCTATTTTGGGGTCCCAGGAACCACAGACCTCTCAAAACCCTTCCTCTCAGTGAATGGTCTCAGTTATTCCCCAGCTACCTGAGGGGTAGAAAGTGAAGGTGGCCCTGTGCCTCCTGAGCTCCCAGGAGACAGAATATCCCCTGGGACTGCGGCTTGTGGTCCTGGCAGTTTGTTCCTCTGGGTGGAGATGGGAGCAGCAAAGAGCTGGACAGTGGCTGCTGTGAGCTCCTGGAATGTCTAAAGGGGAGGAAGACCCAGCAATTAGTCACGGGAGCAATTATGTTAATTGTTCCACTCCATGACTCACTGGTAGAAAGTAAATACTGATTAATTCATTACTTTGCTCTGTGTGTGTGTGTGTGTGTGTGTGTGTGTGTGTGTGTGTGTAGTGTTTGGTGAGGGGGGTGTCTCCTGGCTCCCTGCCCTGACTGGGCTGCACAGCGCTGAGAGCAGGTGCTTGAGGCTGGGGGCAGGAAGCCAGGACTGAGTTCCTGCCTCTGGTTCTGAATGAACTCCAGGAGGAGGCTGTTGGTGGCAGGAGTGAGAGGGGCTGAGCGGGAAGTGCTGATCCAGCCCCTCGCCTGCTCACAGAGCTTCCCCGGTGCCTGCTGCCAGTCACACATTGCAGAGGCTCAGGCGCTGTGACCTACCGGACCCTTGACTTCAGCTCTCAAGGAATTCTGATGTGCAGTGACCAATTTCCTAGAGAAAGTTTGCAAAACCCTAAAATCCTTCTGTGATTGGCCCCTGCTCCAGCCTGTCCCGCCCCTCCCAGCCTGTGTCTCTAACTCCATCCTTAACAAATACGGTCTGAAACTACTCCGTGCGAGGTATTTTATTAGCTGTGGACGTATGTTGTTCATCTCGGGTCTAGGTTAGCAGGCGTGCTTGCCATCGTTTGCGTGCTGCGTCCAGGCTGCTGGCCTTGGGCTGAGGTCTGTGCTTGCCCTGCCTTCCCAGGCCCAGCGCTGGCGCAGTGAGAACTTTGAGCGGCCCGTGGACCTGGAAGGCTCCGGGGATGACGACTCCTTTCCCGAGGATGAACTGGATGACCTCTACTCTGGGTCAGGCTCAGGCTGTAAGTACCTCCCCATCTCTCTGTCTGTAATGACCAGTGTGCATCGGCGCCCCACCCTCAGGGACTCACGAGTGAGACCTTCCATGGCACTGAGGTCAGGCAGGATTGTGTCAGGGACTCCAAACGGCACAGCATCCTGCTTGGTAAGAAAATAGGCCCACCGGGCCTTGACACAGGGGACCCCCAACTCTTGTCTCTCAATCTCTGTGCTGCTGGGGTCTCTCCGCAGCCCTCTAACTCATATCAACACAGACACCCTTCAGTGACCCAGTCTTCACGGCACTGTGCCATCCTTTTGGAGTAGCTTTTGCTGACCCTGGCAGGCCCTCAGCAGGAGTGATTGGCCCAGCGTGGGTCAGGTGACTCTCTTGGGCCCAGGGGCGGGGCTAAGGCAGGGATATGGGCTCAGTGGTCCCCGGGCCTCCGGTTGCTTATGCTGTCCTGGTGGAGGTGTGTCAGGCCGAGCGCAGGTGGGCAGAGAAGAGTGACGTTAGGCAGCCCCATCAGGCCTTGCTGCTGCCATCTCCACATTTGTCCTTGTAGATGGAATAGAACATGCTTTCCTCCTCGGGACTCTGGGCGGGGTTGGAACCAGAAGTCAGAATCTGCAGGGAAGGGAGCTCTGGAACTAGTAGGTGGGACAATCCCAGCGGAGGACAGGGTGGCATCAGCCGAAGCCTCCCCATGCTGGCTGCCTCCGGTCCCTAGTCTTCCTCTGGTCCACTCCGTAAGCCTTGTCCATTTAATTTGGGTAAAGACCCTTCTCTAACTCCTCCCCTTGCCTGCTTCCGCCCCCAGAGCCCCCGGCCTCTCTCTTCTACTCTCTGCCAGGCTCTCCTCACTCCCTTCACCTCCCTCCGAGTTCCTGCGCTTATCCTGGTGGCATTGGCAAAGCCAGGTGGCCCAGGCAGTTTCCCTGCGGGAAGGGCCCACTCTGTCTTGCCCTCAGCTGGGGCCTCTGGGGGGCCTGCGCTGCGTCAGGCCTACAGTGGACGTGCTCCAGACTCCTCCCGAATGCCATGCCTGGTTCTGGTCCTTTTAACCCAAAGTGAGATTGGCAGCCAGTGGCATTGTCATTGTACCACTTGGACTCCAGCTTGTAGGAGCCCCAGGCTGGATGGGCTGGAGTAGTTCGGAAGGCTTCCTGAAGGCAGTGGCTCCCTGAACACTGTTTGTTGAGACACAGAGGAGCTGGCAAGGGTGGCCAGGCTGTTTTCCTCCCTTCATGTTTTCCTGGGAATTTGGGTAGGGAGGAAGAGGGTCACCTAGATAGATGGCTGTGCTTACCGGGGATCCACATCCCCTCCTGGCACCCAGCTCTTGAGCTTTTCTCTAGCTTTCTCCCTTTCCCTGTCCCCACAGACTTTGAGCAGGAGTCGGGCATCGAGACTGCTATGAGATTCAGCCCTGAAGTAGCTCTGGCCGTGTCCACCACCCCTGCAGTGCTGCCCACCACAGATATCCGGCCCGTAGGCACCCCTTTTGAAGAGCTCCCCTCGGAGAGTCCCACCCCAGAGCCTGTCACCAGTCCCCCAGTGGTGACAGAGATTCCAGAAGAGCCCAGCCAGAGAGTCACCACTGTCTCCACCACCATGGCAACCACCACTGCCACCACAGGGGCCCCGACCATGGCCACAGCACCTGCCACAACGGCCACTGCCATCCCCAGCACCCCTGCGGAACCCCCTTCCACGGCTACCACTGCTGTCATAAGGACCACTGGCGCAAGGAGGCTTGTGCCTCTTCCACTGACCACAGCTGCCACAGCCCCGGCCACTACCCCTGCGGCCCCCTCAGCCCCCACCACTGTGGCTGTCTTGGACACGGAGGCCCCAACACCCAGGCTGGTCAGCACAGCTACCTCCCGGCCAAGGGCCCTTCCCAGGCCAGCTACCACCCAGGAGCCCGATGTCCCTGAGAGGAGCACCTTGCCCCTGGGGACCACAGCCCCTGGACCCACTGAGGTGGCTCAGGTGAGGACACTGGGAGGGGGTGGGGCACAAGAGGAGGTCAGGGCTGGGGGAGGAAGCTAGAGCTGGGCAAGGAGAGGACCAGGAGGTGCTAGAGATGAGCCAGGTGGGGGTGATGGGCATAGGGGTGTATCAGGGGCCAGGACTGGGTGTGAGTCACAAGATGGGAGCAGAGAGGGATTTGGAGGGGCAGAGTGGGATGAAGAACCAGGCGTGGGCTCTGATACTGGGCCACAATGACCACGGGGGGCGGGAAATGGGAGGGATAGGGGTGGGTGATGGGGAATGAGGTACAGGGGGTGCTATGAGGAGGGCCAGAGCTGTGGGTTTGAGTGAAGAGCACTGACTCAGGTGCTGGCGGTCTAGATTTGAATCCTGCCACCACTTTTGAGCCATGTGACTTCAGGCCAGTCACCGACCCTTCCTGTCCCTGCATTTCCTTGTCTGTGAAGGGAAGACTTTAACCATTTCCATCATGGTATTGTGGGAATTAAATATCCTGGCAAATCCAGAGCACTTAGAACAAGGTGTGACAAGGGCTCACAAACTACACTCAGCCAGGGCCTTTGTCCTCATCACCACTGTAGCAGTGCTGGCATTGGGATGGAAACTGGAGCAGTGGGCTCTGAGATGGGGCGTTGTGGATGTGCGAGTGGGGGATGGGAAGAGGAGGGTGAGGACCACTTGGGAATGAAGGGCTGAGGGGGAAAGGAAGTCTGGTCCATGTGGTCTCGCTGGGCATGTGGCAGAACTTCTTGGAGTCTGCGTCTGTCCCCACAGGGCTGGCCCTGTGCTGGCTTCCTCTGAGCAGCTGGGGCAGGAAGCAGAGATGGGGGTGGGGCTTGGAGCCAGGCTGCAGGTGTGATCATGGCCCACTGCCTTCCTCACCTGGGTACTGGACCTGTAGGCTGAGCAGCTGCACCCTTGCCTCGACCACTCCCACAGCCCCTGCTCTGCTCTCAGGAGACCCCATGCTGGTCCTGCCTCCATGTGGAGGGGGACATCAGGGATTTTAGTCACTGGCTGGCTGCCTGGACCTGAAGTTGGGCTCTTGGACTGATTGAGGGGCTCTCCCTTGCCCAAGTGCATAGCAGGGGACCCAGAGGTCCCCTGAGGACTGCTGATATGGCACTGTGGGAGGCATAGCATGTGGCCAGACTAGAAACAGAGATAGCATAGCAGAGTGGTTGGAAACACAGACTAGAATTGCATAGATCTGTTTTTTGGGTGGAGGGTACAGTCCTGGGGATTGAACCCAGGGCCTTTGCATTGAGTGACATTCCCAATCTTCGTTTCTTTATTTTTCATTCTGAGATAGGGTCTTGCCAAGTTGCCTGTGATGGGCTCAAATTTGTAATCCGCTTGCCTCAGGTGCCCAAAGTTCTGGGATTATAGACATGCACAACCATGCCTGGCTGGTAGATCTGGATTGTAGCTCTGCCTCTGTTTATTAGATGTGTATCCTTGGAAACTCAACGTTTCTGAGCTTACTTCCTGCTTGCAAATTGGAGGAAATGATACCTCCTTGTGGGGACAGTGTTTTGCACAGTGTGCTGTTTTCCAGGTGTAGAGAGTCCTTAGGGTGTTAGAGTTCTGGGGAATGGAGTGACAGTGGCAGGTGTGTGTGACTGCCTAGCTGCTTGGCCTTGACTTTGGAGCTCCTGCCCCTTCTCTGCAGACACCAACTCCAGAGTCCCTCCTGACCACAGTCCGGGATGAGCCAGAGGTGCCAGTGAGTGGGGGACCCAGCGGGGACTTTGAGCTGCCAGAGGAAGAGACCACACAGCCAGACACAGCCAATGAGGTGGTGGCTGTGGGAGGGGCTGCAGCCAAGCCATCTCCTCCATCTGAAACACTGCCCAAAGGCGCCCACCCAGGCCCTGGCCTCCTGGACAATGCCATCGACTCGGGCAGCTCAGCTGCCCAGCTGCCCCAGAAGAGCATCTTGGAGCGGAAGGAGGTGCTTGTAGGTGAGGATGTACTTTGGGCGAGGGCCTGAGAGAAGCCTGGAGCATGGCCGCCAGTCAGGCCACAGTTTCCCTTGGGACTAGGAAGGGTGGTCAGAGTATGGCTTCCTGGGAGCCAGATCAGAAGGGAAAGCTGGGGATGCCACTCCGCCCCCTGGCCCATCTGCTAACCCTCCCCCAGCTGACCCCTCACTGCCTCTCCATCTCCAAAACTTTTTCCCTCAGTGCCTTCCGACCCCTCCTTGGACTCTGACTCACCCCTGCTTTCCTGGGTCATGCTGTTGGCCCTGTGGGCCTGGCTTCTGCATCTGTGTGGAAGTGTACCTTCTGCAGCAGGGAAGCCCCTGATGTTCAGACAGCAGAGGCTTTTCCTGCCTAGCGGTTAGCAAATAGCGGAGCAGTTTATAGCAAGCTGGCGTCTAAGGGCTAATGCAGACCACAGCCTTTTCCTCACAGGCAGGAGTGAGGAGTGGTGTGGAGCCCACCATTTGGATAGAGTGGACTTAGCCTGGGGACAGAGCCTGTGCCAACTCTCCTGTCACTCCCGCTCCTGCGGCAGCTGTAGGACTCCAAGCCCTAGGCCCCACCCTCCAGTCCCTCTACCTTCTTTTGCATCCTGCCCCAGGACCCTGACCTCTGCTCTTTTCCTCCACAGCTGTGATTGTGGGCGGGGTGGTGGGCGCCCTCTTTGCCGCCTTCCTTGTCACACTGCTCGTCTACCGAATGAAGAAGAAGGATGAAGGCAGCTACACCCTGGAGGAGCCCAAGCAGGCGAGTGTCACATACCAGAAGCCTGACAAGCAGGAAGAATTCTATGCCTAGTGGAGCCTCAGTGCCTCCCTGCAGCCTCAGCCACCCTCACCCAGTTCCAGCCCAGCCTCACTGGCCCAGGCCTGGGACTGGGCCTGGCCCAGTTCTTCTCTGCCCTTCCTCCGTGGCCTACCAGCCTCATGCATTGCCCCCTGAGGAACAGGGGGTGCGGCTGGCTGCCCCGGACTGTGCCCTTACGAGCTCATCTCTTGTCTCCCACCAGCCTGGGGCTCTGGGCCCTTACATCAGTGGACAGGAGAAAGGAAGCTCCTGATTGGCTGGTGGGAGAAGGGGAAGAGATGGAGCCTGAGATGGGCTGAGCCTCTGTGAAATCCCAAAGGGCTGGCTCAGTCTCCTTTCTGGGTCAGAGAGGCCTGCAGGCTGGCTTCCAGGACCAACACATGGCAAACTCAGCCCTTGAAATCACCTAGACGATGAAGCCTCATTCCTGTCACAGGGCCTCTCTTTGCCTGGGTGAGAGGATGTCCTTTGTCACCAGCCTGTTTTGTCCTGGCCTCCTGGGGGTTGTGGGACTGTTCTCCCCTCTCCTCTGCCCAGTGCACCTGTGCCCCAGGCTTTCCTTCCCCTCCACCAAGGACATGGCTTCCTGAGAGTATCAGGGCAGCCACCAGTGAGGACGGCCACCTGACATACCTCCTTTGAGCGGGCTCTACACTGACACCACTCCTCATTCTGTTATACATATTGTCACTTGGTCATATATGAGACAAAATAGAGCAATGACAGAAGCATATCCAGTGCTGACCACCTAACCCATCCAGACATGTCTCAGATGTGTCTTCCAAAGATGTGTGTCTTCAGGTGTTGCTTAACCAACTCTCCAGACATCTCTGCAATGCGAGTCACTAGTCGCAGCCACCTGAATTGTGACAGGGTGGTTTGCTGCTCTGTCACCCCTCCGCAAATTGACACACACTGCCACCTCATCATCATATTGAGCTCTTTCAGGCTCATCGGAGAAGGCAGAATTATGTTGAACAGTCAGCCCATATTGGGTCTCAGTTGCCCTGCTAGCACTTGGTCCCACATCAAGGTGCCCGCACCAGCCACATTGCCACCCATCCCGGCCTCGGTCAACATGGCCCCATGTGGGTACACAGCCCACACAACCCTGCACCCACCAGGGGAAGACCAGGGCACTTGCCTTTCCTGAAATAAAGTGTGGTGTAGGGGGACATTGCCACCAGCCCTCCCACGGCTTTGCACACCGAAAGGCCTGGCCTCACCCCTGGCTGCTTCCTGTCCCTGTCCCTCCGTGCCCACAAAGGGAGAAGTTCAGGGCCAGCCCCTACCCACTGAGAGCCCTGGGACTTTCTCCAAGACTGGAGAAAGGTGGGGTTGTGCCCTCCCATTTGTCCCCAGACTGTGGGGGTTGCTTGGCACTCCCTGGACTAAAGGCCCTGCGTAGGGAGGGGCGAGTGGTCTGTCTCCTGTCTCCTGCATCCTTTTCCTGCTGAGTTAGGGAGCTGATCCTGCCTCCCAGGACACAAGTTTCCAAAGTGCCTGTGAGGGCTGGCCCTCTGCCTGGGCCCTCTGCATCTGCAGCCCCCCACCCAGGCGTCTCCGGGGACGCATGCCCACCCATCTGACCCAACAAGTCTGCAGTTCTGGCTGCTGCGGTTGCATGGGCCTAATGCTGGAAGCAGCCCATCCAGATGCCCCAGGCCACAAGGGCAGATAACTGAGAAACGAAAACAGCAAGGGGGTTGTGTCACAGGGCCCAAGCCTTCATTCCTCTTTATTATTCTAGAGAGTGGGGCCATTTTATAGGTATTTTAAATAAGAGTCGCCAGTCTCCTTTTGGAAAGGGTGGCCTGGTGGGGGCTCCTGGAGCCGGGGGGACGTGGTGTAAATTGTGACTAGTTGGCCCTCCCACCCCCACCTGTGACCCACAGCCCACATCCAAGTCAGGAGCCTACCCCAGTTTTATTTCTGTTTCCTTTTGAAGATTCCCTGGCAGTGGACCTCTGCAGGGGAGGGGCAGGGTGCTGAGGCAGCAAGAGCCACGCTCGGATCCTTGCCCACCTCAAAGCCCACCTTGTTGGGGCCTAGTTGTGTGAGGAACCAGCTGGCCAGAGCCTTTGAGGAAGGCCCGGGAGGGGAGGAGGCCCTGGCCCACAGGCCTTGGTGAGGGGGCTGGGCCTCCATGGGCCCTGCGAACCCAGCCTCCCCTCCATGGGTCCCTGGTAGGCTGCTGTCTCGGATGGCAGCTCTGGTGAGAAGGCCTGGGCAGGCCAAGGCTGAGAAACCAGGGAGTGTGAAGGAGGCAGTGCTGGGCAGCCAGCCCTCAGGGATGGTACCAGGGCAAAGGACCAGCAGTGGGCACAACTTCCATGTTTGCCTGGAGGCCAGCATGGGGTGGCCTTGGCTGGCCTGACTTCCTGTAGCGCAAGTGCTGACTTTGGACTTGGCCTCCTGGCACTGGCCCTCTTCTGTGTCCCTAGTCCTTGAGAGAGGTCAAGGGCCTTGTGCATGGAGCCTTGGACCCATGGCCAAGGCCCAGGCTTTATATTCATGGAGTTCAATGGTCTGCCTGGGCCAAGTCCTTCAGGCCAGTCATTGAGTGGGGCAGGGAGCAGGGCAATCAAAGAGCCCAGCCAAGGGCGAGCTGGAGCTCTCTACAGTGCAATGGGGGTGTGGGGCCTGCCCCCACCCCAGGTACGGTGTGAAGTGTGCAGGGCCAGCCAGGTGGGCCCATAGACACCATAGTGCTCCTGGTAGGGTGTCCTGCGGGCCCTGGCATTTCCTGAGAGCACAGCACATTCCAAAGGAGAGGGAGCTTGTGTGGCTTGAGAACTCTCCTGGGCTTTGCCCACTGGAGGGCAAGGCAGGCTGAGCCGAGCTGGGGCAGGACTGGCCCCGGCTGTGCTGACTAGAGCCCAAATTCGGTCTCTAGGTGGCCAGAGCCCTTGGGACTTCACCTGAAAAGCTGGTCCCCTCTATCACTGGAAGAATGTGGGCAGCAAATGGGCCGCACAGGCTTGTGGCAGGGGCCTGGGGAGCTCAGGCCAGACCCTTGGGGTTGGCAAAGCCGCCTATTAGGCCAGACTGGGAGTAGAGCCACCTTGGCCTCCCAGGCAGGAGTGGCCTTGGCTGTCCTGGCTTTCTTCTGTCAGTTGCGGCCTTGGCCTTGCCTCCCCGTGCCTCTAGTCTGTAAATAGAAGCCTGCAAACTGTACAGATTTAGAGAGGCCGAGACTGCGCCTGGAAGTCACCATCGCAGGGCTGAAGGCCCAGCATCCCCCAGGTGCCTACCTGGCCCCAGCGTGACGAATGCATGTAAATATTTCTCGTAGGCAGCGTGGCTCCAGAGAGCCCCTAAAGACAGTGTTCCCCCTCTGGTAAGTCCTTTCTTCTGTACAGAGCCCTCCCAGACCCCGGCCAGCAGTGGGGAGGAGCTCGTCCTTTCCTGTCCCTGGCCTTCCCTGCTCTCCCCCCCACCCCCATGACCTCTTTATTAACCACCCCTGTCCTGAGTTCATGGCCAAAACTTTTAATAAGGAGAAGTGGAGGAAAGACAGTGGATACGGTGACCAAGGCACTGCCTGCTGCAGGTGTGTGCCTGGCCCAGCCTGGGGAAGGAACTGGTTTTGTTTTGTTTTTTTGTTTGAGTTTTGTTTTTAACATTTCCCGTGCTGTGCCCATTTATAAGAGGAAATAAAATTAAGCTGAAATGACATACTGTTGTCAGAGTGTGGTATCAATACAGGTGATGTTGGGAAGGGGGCAACTCTGGTCACACCTCAGCCTCAGCCTCAGCCTCAGCCTCAGCCTCAGCCTCAGCCTCAGCCTCATCTGTGTTCCTCTTTAAAGGAAACTGTGAACCACGCAGGAAAAATCGGCTGGCAGCTCCTGTGGGAACCATTATGGTAAAGACTGCCCTGGGTTCAGAGTGTTCGGGAAACCCCAGGGCTAGTGTGGTTAGGGTGGGGTGGGTGTGGGGCTGTGGTTCATCCCAGCAGGGAAGAACTCTGGCTTCAGGCCACAAAGAGAGAATGGAGTATCACAGAATAGTGGACTCAGAGCTGCCGGGTGGGTGGCTTTGGGCCTGATGGCTACTGTCACACGTGGTGACATTTCCTAGCTCTGACTCTGGGCTCTTTGAGCCTCAGTTTCCTTATCCTGAAACAATGGTGTTCCCCACATGGAATGTGGCAGGGGTCATACGAAGAGCAATCAGCACAGGGTCTGGGAGGTGGTGTGGCTCACAAGATCTTTGATGGTGGAGTTGGGACAGAACAGGACCAGGGCTAGAACTTTAGTTGCCTGGATCTTGTATTGATGATGGGTTTGCAGAAGGACAGGCCCGGGAGTGTGCTAAGCATCCTGGTCCCTCCTGGAAATAAAAAAGTCGCATCATTAGAGCCTGGGAGGGCCCTTCCCAGCCCCCACTCTGCCCAGCTCTCTTGCCAGGAGCACCCTGAGGGCCACACTCTCTCAGTCTGTCCTCAAGCCCGGGCCCTTCTCATCTGAAACCTGTCTTCCCTGTGTGACCTCTCACTGGGGCTCATGGTGCTCCTGGGCATGTGGAACTGCACTGCTCCCTGCCAAGGGACAAAACCTAGGCTTGGGAGTCATTGCCAAGAATGCCCTTCCTCCAAGGGAAACCTCGCTAGGTTCTGCCGATATTTCTTCTGGAAGTTTCTTCTTCTGAAAATGCGATACACGAAGTCCTGATGGGCCAGGGTGGGTTGGAACCTAAGACTGATGGATCTGGTCAAGGTCCTCCCCTGCTGCCTGTTTCTTTCCTCATTGAAATAAATGTCCTGGAGCATCCACTGACCCCAGACCTCTGCTTAGGACTGGGAGGTGAGGAGTCACCAGTACAGACCCATCCCTGCCCTCCGGGCACATACAGTCTGTTAGCAGCTGGACAATAACCAGCCTCCTGATGGATGGTGCTGGTGTGGCCGAGGGGGTCCTGCTTCCTCAGCTGCTACCTCTAAACTCTACCCATCTTTACTGCTTGCCAGAGCAGGGACAGAGATCTGAGGCCCAGGCCATCACTATGGGACCTCAGACAACTTGTCACTTGGAGTCCCAGTCTGCACAGCTACGGCAGCTTGCCCCCCTGGAAAGGGGGCCAGACCTGCAGAGGGCTAGGCTACAGTGAAAAAGCCTGCTGTGGTGAGGGGTTGAGGGGACAAGAAAGCTTCCCCTTAGAGCCTAAGGCGAGGGCTTTCCCTCAGACCCCAGCTCTGCCTCACACTAGCTGCGTGGCCCCAGGTGAGTTCCATCCACTGGGTGCTGTTTTCTCACCTTAGAGCGGGAACATGCATCTGTTTCATGCCCATGACACAGGACCTGTGCTGGGCCTAGGAAGGGGCTTTTCTGACTATGGCCATTATTGTTATTGGTGCTGTTGCCATCACTTCAGGATTCACAGGCCCGGCACTTTTGACTGCTGAGTGGAGAGGTCACCCTGACCCTGCTCGAAATCAAGCTGTGTTGTACTGGCTGTGGTTCGCCCTGTGACTGACTCGGGCTTGTCGGGCTGAGGCCAGCCGCCACATGTCTGGGCTGCCCCGATGGTCTGGGCACTGCTGGGAGCTGCACCGTTTCTTTGGGGCCCTTTGGCCCAGGGAAGGGAGGAAGAATGGCTGATTGTTTCGGGCAGCCCAAGAGGTCACAGCTGCTGGCCTAAGAACAGACTGTGCTCAGCACCCAGGCCCACGGTTTCTGCCAGCCTCGGAGCAGAGCTGCGAGCCGTGGGACCTTTGAGCCTCCGTTCCACCTGGGAGAATGGAGGCGGTGTCACATACAGGGTGTCAGCAAAGAACATCCTGGCCCAGCTCCGTTCGTGAGCTTACTTAGCCCCGTTCGTGAGCTTACTTAGCCCCGGGGAGCTCTGGCCTCCTGGCCTGTTTGTAAAGGAAAAAACTGAGGCTCAAAGAACAGAGGCACTCATCTCAGGGCTGTTGGAGAGTGCAGTGGGATTGGAGCCTGGCTGTCTCCCAGGGTTCCTGGCTCCCTTGCTGTCCATCGCTCCCTGCTGTGTGAGTGTTCACAGCTTAGAAAGCCTCTCTGAGCTTCAATGATAGCAACATGAGCAGTGGGGTGTAGCAGAAAGACTAGGAAACTGTATTAACACACGGTGCTTGTGGCCTGCCTCGTGACGGTCAGCACTCGCTCACACTCTCCATCTCATTTAATTATTGGACGTAATTTATTGTCCCCATGTTACAGAGAAAGCAGTGACCTTAGCAGCCAAATCTGTGCCGTGGGACACTTAGCAGGCAATGGTCCAATTTCTTCAGTAAATAAATTGTAAGGAAGGAGGAGGAGGAAGAGGAGGAGAGGAGGAAAAGGAGAAGGAAGAAGAGAGCGCACTGGTAAGAGAAGATACATGTATTTGAAAAGTTATTTTGAGATAGGGTCTCGCTGTGTGGCCCAGGCTGGCCCCAAACTCCTGGACTCAAGCCATCGGCCTAGGAGCTACGGCTTCCTAGGCAGATGGGACTAGAGGCACATGCAGTGGCCCCTGACCAGAGAATTTATAAATACAATTAAAAGATGTTCTCAGGCTGAGGCAAGAGGACTATGGTGAATTTTTTTTTTTTTTTTTTTTTTTTTCCGGAACTAAGGATTGAACTCAGGCCCTGTACTTGCCAGGGAAGCGCTTATTCTACTGAGCCATCTCCCCGGCTGGATTATGATGAATTTGGGACCAGCCTGGACTACATAGGGAGAACCTGTCTCAAAAAACAAAACTAAAACTAAAAGGTCTTAACACAAAAACCTAACACGGATCCTGATTCACATTAGTAACTTTGAAAATGCCAACTATAAAGGAAGTGGAAATTTGAACATGGTGTGAATATCAGTTACTAGGAAATCTTTTTCAGTGCTTTTGGGTGTGACAAGGGTGCTTAGTTATGTGGGGGAAGTACGAGAGCTTTGGGCTTGCTACAAGCTTTCCCATTGACTACAGCCCTTTGTACAATTTTATTTTGAGACAAGCTGTCATTAACTTCCCAGGCTGGCCTCCAAACTGGGAGCCTTGTGCCTCAGTCTTCTGAGGAGCTGGGCTTACGGTTGTGTACCACAACTCATGGGTCCTTCTCCCCTTTCCCTTCTAGCTTCTTCCCTTCTCCTTCTCCCCCTTTGCTCTCCAACTTCTTTTCCTCATTCTCCTCCTCTTCTTTTAGGGGTACAGATGGAAATCTTAGCAGGTGAAGTGACAAACTTTCTAGGATTGGCTTCTCAATCCTGTGGGGGAGGAACAGGAAGTGAAGTGGGCTTGAGTTGCTCATTGCAGGAACTGAAGGATGGGCACCTAGGGGGTCATTATGTTAGCCTCCTACTCGAAGTTTGTATTTTAAATTCTCATAATCAAATGCTTGAGGGGGATTGGGGAGATGGCTCAGTAAAATAAGCACTTGTCTGGCAAGTGCAAGCCTCATGATGGCTCTGACAGAACAACTCAATCCCTGTTCTGCCAAAACAAAAAAAAAGTTTGAGGAAACAAGAAATTCTCAGGCATTCTGGGATCTGCCCAAGGTCTCCTTTCCAACAAACACAGAACTGGATCTTTAGGCCCCAAGCCCAGGTCCCTGGCCACTGTCCTTACTTCTATGCCTGGGGCCAGCCCCATGATGTCATACCACCTCCGGCTTTATGCCAGCCACTTCTGGACGGTCACTACTTTCAGGGTCCCCAGCCCCACCCTTTTTTTTTCTTTTCAAAGTTTTATTGATAAACATATAGCAATGAGACAGTTTCAAATCAAATCGAAAGTACAGTTTCAACAAATAATACACTGCATATATTCTTCTTAGTGGTTAATTGCTGTACAAGATGCCCCACCCTTTTTGTGGAGATGGCTTCTCATGATGGCTCTGACAGAACAACTCGAGTAGACTTTCCACGGGTGACATGGCTTTGCAGCTTTCCCTCCTCTAGAAAGTATGGCAGCTGTGGCCCTCCTTCCCAGGGAAGCTTTCTAGGGAGTCCTGGGCCTCGCTCTCACATCAGTCCTGGGCAGTGAGCTGGTTGGGGTTACCCATCTCACGTTGAGGGATGGTAGCTTTGTCCCACCCCATCAAGGCTCTGGCCTTGCCCAGCCCTGCATCATATCTTGCTGGAAATCATGCAAGCGACTCTCCTCAGTCATCACATGCATTAAGGAAAGGGCACGGGTTAGACACAGGTTCTCCTGGGCCGTCCTTGGAGGATCCACATCACCCCCAGCCTTGGCTTCCTCCTCTGTGAGGTAGGTGTAGATGTTGGCTGCAGACACTGTGTGGGGGATGGGGACCCAGCAGCAGGCAGGTAGAAGTATTTGGCATAAAAAGTGATACACGGCAGGTGCAAGCTGTCACAGTGTGGGACTCATGGTAGCAGCAGCAAAATCACGTCATCACGTGGACCACACACCAGGAATATGTTCTGTGTGGCATTTAGGACAGCGCCTGGCACGTGGGAAGCACGGTGCGAGTGCTCATTGCATCCATGTACAATGTGCAGGTAGTAGCTCCTTTAACCTTCACATGAGCCCCGAGAAATAGGGCTGGGGAGCAGAGACTCTCAGAATGCTGAGTGGAAGTGAGACTGTTGTAAAGTCAACCTGGACCCCCAACTCACCCTCCTCCTGGTACACTCCTACGGGCTTCAAGCTCTACTCCAGCAGCAGCCCCTCTG